AATCAAGGACGTAAAGTAGAGTTTAGTTAGGACGTTTTGAAATAGTTTAGCTTGGACGTTTTGAAATAGTTTGGCTTTGACGTTTGGAACAGTTTAGTTTGGACGTTTTGGTACAGTTTAGCTTGGACGTTTTGAGTTTAGCTTGGACGTTTTGAAATAGTTTGGCTTGGACGTTTGGAACAGTTTAGTTTGGACGTTTTGGTACAGTTTAGCTTGGACGTTTTGGTACAGTTTAGCTTGGACGTTTTGGAATAGTTTAGCTTGGACGTTTTGAAATAGTTTGGCTTGGACGTTTGGAACAGTTTAGTTTGGACGTTTTGGTACAGTTTAGCTTGGACGTTTTGGAATAGTTTAGCTTGGACGTTTTGGAATAGTTTAGCTTGGACGTTTTGGAATAGTCTATCTTGGACGTTTTGGAATAGTTTAGATTGGACGTTTTAGCTAGAAATACGCGACAATATCTTTCAAATTATGTGTTGAACTGTGTTTTTTAGCGATTAGAAGTACTAGATAATATTCACTAGTTAATATGGTTGAGCTTTAAACCAGTTCTCAAAACAAGAAAAATGAAAAAGATTGTTTTGTCAACAATTAGAAAGGAAAGAACCACTGTCTGTACTCATTGTACTGTAAACACTTGGAATACTACACTATAACACTTAGTGTACTGAAAACACAAAGAAAACTACTGTACTTCGTGTACTTTTGAACACTAGGAAACTTGATATCTTTAATCATTGTACTGTAAACACCAGGCAGCCTTCTGTACTGAAAGTATACTTTAAAAACAAGGAAATCTACTTTGCTAAGTGTACTACAAATACCAGGTAGCCTACTGGACTCAGTATGGTGTAAACACCAGGAAACCTACTATACTTTGTGCACTGTAAACACCAGGTAGTCTACTGTGCTATGTGTACTACAACACCAGGAAACCTACTGTACTTAGTATTCTATTAACACCAGGAAACCTACTGTACTCAGTATGCTGTAAACACCAGAAATTCTATTGTAGTTAGTATACTGTAAACACCAAGAAACCTACTGTACTCAGTATGATGTAAACACCAGAAAACCTACTGTACTCAGTATACTGTAAACACCAGGAAACCTACTGTACTGGTATGCTGTAAACACCAAGAATCCTATTGTAGTTAGTATACTGTAAGCACCAGGAAACCTACTGTACTTAGTACAATATAAACACCAGGAAACCTACTATACTCAGTATACTGTAAACACCAGGAATCAGTATACTGAAAACACCAGGAAACCTACTGTACTCAGTATACTGAAAACACCAGGAAACCTACTTTACTCAGTATACTGAAAACACCAGGAAACCTACTGTACTCAGTATACTGAAAACACCAGGAAACCTACTGTACTCAGTATACTGAAAACACCAGGAAACCTACTGTACTCAGTATACTGAAAACACCAGGAAACCTACTTTACTCAGTATACTGAAAACACCAGGAAACCTACTGTACTCATATACTGTAAACACCAGGAAACCTACTGTACTCAGTATACTGAAAACACCAGGAAACTTACTGTACTAAGTATACTGTAAATACCAGGAAACCCTCTGTACTCAGTATACTGTAAACACCAGGAAACCTACTGTACTCAGTATACTGAAAACACCAGGAAACTTACTTTTCTTAGTATACTGTAAACACCAGGAAACCTACAGTACTCAGTATAATGAAAACAACAGGAAACCTACTGTAACTTAAAGTACACTGAAAACACCAGGAAACCTACTGTACTCAGTAAATTGTAAACAGCTGGTAGCCTATTGTACTCAGCGTACTATGAACACTATGACTATTGTAACTATTGTATGTACTATTGTAAACACAAGGAAACTTACTGTACTTAGTGTAATACAATCACCAGGAAACCTACTGTACTTAGTGTACTGTAAACATCATGTCACCTATTGTTCTATACTGTATTTGTATGAAAATATTCTTATTGCCAACAATAGACAGTTATATAATTGCTAGAAACAATGTTACTGAGATGTTTGTGCAGGCAAGCTATAGAATATGTTAGAAACAAAGTTCTTTTCTATTTTATTTTATTTAATGCATCCTCTAGAAGTATATTATTATAATAATTTAATAAATTCTGTCATTTTTATTATTTATCTTCAATTTTTATATCCTGCATATTACAATGCAGTGCACCCATATATTTATTTCATATTTATTGAGATTAAAATATACAGGGCTTCCTTTAATAATGATAAATAAAAACTGTATGTATTATAAATAGAACTTTATTTTGATTTTTACTTCTTAATATCTAATTTTGCTTATAGATGTCGTTAAAGCTTTTACAGTAATTAAATCACATGAAAATTGTTTTATTTAAAATCATACTTTTAAAAAATGTTACAAAGCAAAGAAAAAAAACATAAAAAGTGTTTTTACATAAATCAAAATTAACTTTAAAAATATTTTCATGATTGTTCTTACAAAATCTTTGAGTTATAAGTGACAGGAATTCATATTTTAATGATTTTTTTTCAATCAGCTACCATTCACTTTTGAACCTATTTTAACCCAGTTAACAATTCGTTATTATTTATAGCATTAAAGAATTTATTTATCCTGTCTTTAGATATACAAAATCATTTCATTTCTAAACAGGTCATCCGATGTTAAACATAAAATTGTGTTCGCCTAATTAGAACGTTCGTTCATCTCCCATTCCTAATTTAGCAAGCCAGACTTTAATTGTTGCGAACATATTGAATTTAAACAATCTTCTTTATTCCTATTGTAAACAGTGTAAACAATATTTTGAACCGGGATCGTATAGAAATAAGATAATTTAGAAGAAAAATGGATTTATAAACACAATTCATATTCTTGTCATTTTTTAAAATAGATAAATCAGAAATATCGTGACAGAGGTTGGAAAAGCAAAGCTTGAAAATATGGATAAAATTTACATTTGAAAATATGATTTACATGATAATCCGCTAAACGTTTTCTAAAATGATATAAAAATATGTTTGAATGATAAAACTAAAATTCTGTTGGAAATATTGTAAAATGAAAACTTTTTCATTCACAAATACAAAAATGTTTAAAAAGGATACAGTTGGGTTTACATTAAAATCATAAGATGTCAAAACCTACAAACAATTTAATGTAAACTTGTAAATTTATATTTATGTACGTTTACATTTACGGTGTACGGTTATGCATTGTTCACTATACAGTTTACAACATACATTGTACATTGATTGTACATACATAAATCTCTGCTTGACGTGTTCATGTACAGATTTTATATTTATATTTATCTTCTTGGTATTCATTGCGTGGAACCATCAGTCATAGGATTTAGAATATAGAACACTCTATACATGGATGATGGAGCTAGAATGGAGTAAGGATACTCTATACATGGCACTAGGACGGAGTAAGGATACTCTATACATGAGCTAGGACGGAGTAAGGATACTCTGTACATGGAGCTAGGCCGGAGTAAGGAAATTCTATACATACGGACGGAGTCAGTATATACTTTATATGGGGCTATGAGATTGGCTAAACATGGAGTTATGACGGAGTAATTATAGTTTGAACACGGAATCAGGATTGAGTAAACATGGAGTTATGACGGAGTAATTATAGTTTGAACTAGGGGTCAGGATTGGGTAAACATGGCTGTATGACGGGGTAAGTATAGTTTGAGCACGGAGTCAGGATTGGGTAAACATGGAGTTATGACGGAGTAAGTATAGTTTGAACACGGAGTCAGGATTGGGTAAAGATACTTTGTATAGTCCTATATAGGACTAAGTAAGATTTCAATTTCAAACTTTGCTAAAGAGAAAAACTTTTTTTATTTCTTTATTTCATACAATTCAGTTCAATATAGTTTGAATTCCAACTAGATTTAAATTAAGAAAGAAAAGTTTAAATTCTCGAGTAGAAGCCTATGTTTGCAAATGTTATGATAATTGAATAGAAATTTAGAAGTTTAAAGAAAATGTATTAAAGTTATTAGAAAATTCCTGCAAGTAAATATAAAACATTGTAAAGTTGGTTCCCAACCTAACCTAGAGATAATACAAAACATTGTAAAGTTGGTTCCCAACCTAACCTAGAGATAATATAAAACATTGTTAAGTTGGTTTCTAAACTAACCTAGAGATAATATAAAACATTGTAAAGTTGGTTTCCAACCTAACCTAGAGATAATATAAAACATTGTTAAGTTGGTTCCCAACCTAACCTAGAGATAATATAAAACATTGTTAAGTTGGTTCCCAACCTAACCCAGAGATAATATAAAACATTGTTAAGTTGGTTCCCAACCTAACCTAGAGATAATATAAAACATTGTTAAGTTTGTTTCTAACCTAACCTAGAGATAATATAAAACATTGTAAAGTTGATTCCAAACCAATCTACAGATATTATAGAATATTAAAGAAGTGTTCAATTTCAGAAATTCGCTTTATCAAATTGATTGAACTCTATGTAATGATTAATTGATTGAACTCTATGTAATGATTAATTGATTGAACTCTATGTAATGATTAATTGATTGAACTCTATGTAATGATTGTTAATCTGATTAGAGGGAGACAGATAAATTCTAGTGAAGTCGAATCCCAGGATAAAAGGACAAATTGGACTGAAGTCAATATAGAGACAATCTGAATATCGAGGTTTAGACAATTTTGTTATTTTAAACCATGGTTGATTAAGTGAAATAATTAATATATACATATAGTTTGCATATATATTTATTTTGCAAATACTTCAAGGATATTTTTTTATATTCGAGGTAAATGTCTGATCTGTTATGTATATTTTTGGAAACCTTTAAGTTACACTTCGTACTTAGCTCAATGGAAATTTTCGATATCTTCTTCTTGTTTGAATAATTGAAACTTTAATTTTGTTTCAATTTAATGTTCAATTTATTTTATATCCAAGTACTCTAGAGGCTTTAATAAAGAGATATTCAAACACTTCTATACAATTTATATAAACATCATATTTATAATGGAATGTAAGGTTTGTTTTTCTGCTTGCATTTGTAAAAAAAACATTTTAAAAACATTTACGGTGAACAATGGATGGTCCACACTCATCATATTCCTGCTTGGAGATCCACATCTGCTGGAAGGTGGACAGGGAGGCCAGGATAGATCCTCCGATCCAGACGGAGTACTTCCTCTCAGGGGGAGCAATGATCTTAATCTTGATGGTTGAGGGAGCCAGGGCAGTGATCTCCTTCTGCATCCTGTCAGCAATACCGGGGTACATGGTGGTACCACCGGACATGACGGTGTTGGCGTACAGGTCCTTACGGATATCCACATCACACTTCATGATAGAGTTGAAGGTGGTCTCATGGATACCACAGGCCTCCATACCAAGGAAGGAAGGTTGGAAGAGGGCCTCAGGGCACCTAAACCTCTCATTACCGATGGTGATGACCTGACCGTCGGGAAGCTCGTAGGACTTCTCCAGGGAGGTGGAGGCAGCAGCAGTAGACATCTCCTGCTCAAAGTCCAGAGCAACATAGCAGAGCTTCTCCTTGATGTCCCTGACAATCTCCCTCTCAGCTGTGGTGGTGAAGGAGTATCCTCTCTCAGTCAGGATCTTCATGAGGTAGTTGGTGAGTTCACGACCAGCCAGATCCAGACGAAGGATAGCATGGGGGAGAGCGTATCCTTCATAGACGGGGACGCAGTGAGAGACACCATCTCCGGAGTCCATGACAAGACCAGTAGTACGACCAGAAGCATAGAGGGATAGAACAGCCTGGATAGCAACATACATGGCGGGCATGTTGAAGGTTTCAAACATAATCTGGGTCATCTTCTCTCTGTTAGCCTTAGGGTTGAGTGGAGCCTCAGTTAGAAGGACGGGTTGCTCCTCAGGGGCAACACGGAGCTCGTTGTAGAAGGTATGATGCCAGATCTTCTCCATATCATCCCAGTTGGTGATGATTCCGTGCTCAACGGGGTACTTCAGGGTGAGGATACCTCTCTTACTCTGAGCCTCATCTCCAACATAAGCATCCTTCTGTCCCATACCGACCATGACACCCTGGTGACGGGGACGGCCAACGATGGATGGAAAAACAGCTCTAGGAGCATCATCTCCAGCAAATCCAGCTTTACACATTCCGGATCCATTGTCTACAACAAGAGCAGCAACATCCTCGTCACACATCTTGTTCTTCCTTGTCTAGGATATGTTGGAGTATTGAAGGATAAGAATGATATGAGCCTACTATTCTCCTGTATATGTTTATATACTGGAGTAATTTGGTCTTAAGCCAAGTTTACGTTTATGTCCATAAAAGGAGATGTATTGTCCTCTGACCTAAGCTAGTACGCCGGTCAATGTGGGGAAAACACTGCCTTTTAACATTACCTTATATGGTCATATTTAGGCAGATTAAGAGTTTGAATTTCAAGTATTTCCGCTGGAACATTGTAAAGGGATTGTCGACGTATAATGTCAAATCATCCATTCTTTTAATGAGTTACGTGTCAGATTTAAACTAATACCCTTTATTCTGTATTCTTTACAGAAAACCTAGAAAACCCCATCATGTTATGCTTCAGCATCGATTATATAGGGTACCGTTGTGAATACAAATTTGAAAATAAAGGGTCACTGTAAATACATTGCTTGTCTTTTTATGGAGGGGGGGGGGGTATATATAATGGATTTAAATGAATTAAGAATGCTGTAAAGACTAAGTATTCCGGGAAAATGCGGGAAGCTTCTTTAAATTACACAAATTCACAATTTACAGGTCTCATATGATAGTAGCAGCAATTTTTGGGACACTTTAATTTATGCGTAATATAAGGTTTATGAGGCAGCCTTTCATTTTATTTTTAACAGATCAGCAAATAGGATGTTTTTCATGAGTTTCTGAATAACTGCACCACACTAATGCCTTCTTCTTACGTGTAATGACCGCTAATTTTACCCCTATTGTTCAACCGAGTTTGTTCTGGCAAGATAGGGAAATTTTTTCCTTTTTTCCTCATATACAGGGTGATTTTTAAAGTCGATTTTTTCATTTGTCCTTAATGGGATGTAAAATCTGCAATATTGAATATGAAAATCTCCTGATTTTTTACTTACTGTGTGACATTTGAAATTTCCCGAAACAACAATGGCTACATCCAGAAAAAAGATTTCAGGTCTCCCTTAAACATGTCAATCAGTTTCAAAATTACGGCATTTTTCTCCATCGCACTCCATTTCCGAAGCAACAATAGCAACATCCAGAAAAAAAGATTACAGGTCTCCTTTAAACAGATCAATCAGTTTAAAAAATACGGCATTTTTCTCCATTTTCTCCCTAAAATGATTTTTACAAAAATGATTAATTATGGTTGTTTCTGACCAGCTGTTATTAGTTTGAAGCAGGCGCGCAACTATGGGGGCCAGCCCCACCCTTGTAGGGGGGGGGGCAAGAAGTCTTTAACAGGGGTCCTCATAGTTCCATAAATAGCCAATTTTTTCGAAAATATGAAAAAATATGCCCCCACAGCAAACTCAAATTCAACTAGAACATTTTTTAATATAAGCTCAGATTATTTTCCCACTTTCTTTAAAAAATGCCTCCATATTTGGATTTTTTAAATTACACTCACACATTCTTATTCAAATTGCCCAACCACTCAGACTTAAATTTGCCTCTTTATTCAACATTTGTAACCTTGTTTTTTTAGAATGCCACCAATTTTTTAAAATTTACAGCCTTAAAAATTAATAAGTTCTTCCCACAAAAAAAAATTAAACCTTAGTTTAAAAAATGCCCCTTTATAAATTTTAAAAATGCCCTTAAATAAAAAAAATTGCCCCAAAATAAAGATTTAAGATTTCCAATACACAAAATTGACCAAAAGAAAGAAGCCCCCCACAAAAAAAGATCTGCCCCAAAAACAAAGATTTGAGATATACCCCAACAAAAAAATTGACCTCTAAAAAAATTGACCCCTAAAAAAAATTTGCCCCTGAAATATCCTAAATTTGTAAGGTANGATGCAGCCTGATTAAAGGACCCTAAATATATTGTCCAAATATTAGTTTGGAAGTTATTGTGAGAGCCCCCTTATGCAGACACAGATTACCAATGCTGGAGATAATTAATATCTTTGTCAAACATGTAATAACGATTAATAAATATTAAAATTATCTTTTTACTTCTGCTTTGATGAACAATTAAAAAAAATTCACTTTTAAAAATCACCCTGTATATGGCTAAAATTGCCAAAAATTGTAGAAGGGTGCCCCGCAAAACATGATAACTGAGAAATGACCTACATTTCTTCACAATTATAATAATAATTTAAAAAATTCTTAGACGAAATTTGTTTTCTTGTTTAACGGTCTTCTTGTAAACTTATCAACAATTAGTGAAAATATAATAGGTAATTTATTTATTAACCATAAATGTAAATATTATATAAATGTTAGGTCAGATAGCAACAATATAACTTAAAAATAAGATATGAAAATTTTAAAAGTTAATCGATGACAAAATTCAGTCTGAAGCAAGTTTGTGCACGTGTATTGATGTACTAGGTGCAATTGTACAATGCACGTTTTAAAAAATGCATTTTAAATGTGTATTATTTCTTTTAAAAAAATCACGATCAGTTTAAATTATTTAATAATGTAACTTTTTTCACAAACATATTTTTTTCAACAACAAGGCTATTTTCAAAAACAGTAATTTACAACAAAAAACCTTGGCTAAAGAAACCTTTCTTAAAAAGTTTCAATAACAGCATTTTTTTATACAAAAGGTATCGTTTATTGAAGATAGCGTTTATTGAAAAGAATTTCTTTGAATTTCTATTTTCTGTGTTAATTAAAAAACAAACAAAAAATATATATATTTAAAAAAATAAACATCCATACTCAGTGAGAAGACCAAAATATCAAAATGAGGGAAATATTTTTAGGAAAGTCCTGTCGATATTTTCAGGTTTCATCATTTTATTTAAAAACTGTGATAAGAATAATCTCCATCATTATCCAAATTTTAAAAAATTATCTTTAATGGAGAAAGGGGGGGAGGGGTAAATTTTTAAAAACAAGGCAAAACAAATCACATGACGCATTATTACAACATATTAATAACGAATACATCGAAAGAATTCATCAAATGTGGTATTCTTCACTTTCTGATAAAGGAATCTGGCAGATATTTAGTTTTTTAATTAAATGATTAAATGGAACTCTTTAAAACTGTTCCCGCATATTCATGGCTATTTATTTATTTTCGCAAATACTGAAATTTTCATAAAATAGTATAAAACTCATTGAAAAATTGTCAAGACGACATTTGATAAATTCTTCTGATGTATTCGTTATTAAGGGTTTCACTGTACAAAGTTGGAAAAAAATCTCTTAAAGAATATATAGAAGTAATTTCGAGTAACCTTCAGAAGTGGCATGTCCGATTCACAAATAGACTTTTTCTGATCATAGATGATTGAGATATCCTAGTTGTTCTAGCTTTACTTTGATTATTCTCAATTAAGGTAGAAAAACGAAGAAATCCTAGTGATTGTTGTTATGAAGAAGGTTTGAAGTGTACCGTTGAAATTCGGACATGCCACTATAAGAAGGAACGGTCCTTTAAATTACTTTCCATTTGGTGGAATGAAATTGCTTGAATAAATCACAGATATTTAGGCTTGTATCAAGGCACTATCTTAAAATCTAAGATTTAATAAAAGTGTTATAACAAGACAGCAAAGAATATTTTTTGTACTGCATTGTTACGTTTATACCCCATAAGGTTAAAAACAATCAATGTTTTCTATTCCCCCAGTGCAATTTGCAGCTAGGATAGAACTAGTTCAGCTAGGGGTCAGGTTCTTGCACTATATTGAACGGCTAAGAAGGGCTAGGAAATGTTAGGAAGGATTAGGAAGGAATAAGAAGAGCTGAAAGGGCTAGAAAGGGTTAAGAAAGACTAGGAAGGACTAGGAATGGTCAGAAAGGGAAAGGAAGGGCTGAGAAGAGCTAGAAGGGCTAGGCAGGGTTAGTCAGGGCTAGTGAAGGCAAGGAAGGATTAGGAAGAGATGAGAAGAGCTAGAAGGACTAGGCAGGGTTAGTAAGGGCTAGTGAAGGCAAGGAAGGATTAGGAAGAGATGAGAAGAGCTAGAAGGGCTAGGAAGGGTCTAGTTTAGATGGGTAAGGATCTCAATTCCACATCTCTTGACTTTCTCCTCTGTGTATGCTTCTGCCAGGATACAATGAAGAACCAAATATCCTTCTTTAATCTGTTCAATACTTCCCTCTAGATGCAGGCAGATTACTAGACCAATCAAATATTCATGTTTTCAGCTTTTTAACAAATCTGTACAAATTCAAACAACGCATTAACAATTTATTCCAAAAAAAACTTGACGGCCTGACATTTAAAGGGTGTATGTAAAAATAATATACTACCCCGAGCATTAATAAATGTGGTCTACTGTATTGCACCTCAAAATTGGCAGACATTTTTGAAATTTGAACAACTGAAAAGAAAGTTCTTTAAATCTTTTTAAATTCTGAATATACATAACACCGGCAGAGCACGTTTTGGTATGTATTGCTTGTCTGTTCTAAGGATAATCGATGGTTTTAAAACACAACAACGAAAATGGATATTAACTTTTAAATTTCTAAGTAAGTTATGTTAAAAACATGAATATTTTCCTCCAAGTTTTACGCCATAAATGTAGAAATGACACGAATCCAGAATTCGACTCTTACTTCTGGTTATAAATTCAGCGTACGGACTAAACAAAATGAAAAATATTGAAAGAAATTTTCTTCTGAAGTTTTACTTTTATTGTTAAATAAATATAAATATTATATATATAAACTGATGGGCTATCTTTTAATAATATATATATATCAACTGCAAAATCAAATCTGATGAAAAGAGCCATACTGATGAGTCCTAATAGGACGAAACACTGTGTCTATGGATATATATACTCGTTTAGTCCGCTAAACTTGAGTTCTCTATGGTAACGAATAGGTGTACTAATTAGTATTATGCAAGGCCCTCAACTTATAATGAGTTGGTTGAGCTCTCTGGTCCCTATTTCAATACCCAATCATCTGGGTTTGATGGAGCAGTGGTTAGCGTGTTTGATTCATAATATAAGGATTCATGGTTCAAGCCCCATCAACTGCAAAATCAAATCTGATGAATTGAGCCATACTAATGAGTCCTAATAGGACGAAACACTGTGTCTATGGATATATATATATAGAAATTGAAAAGATACGTGACCGGCAAGGAGGGGTTAAAAAACTCAGTACTGATCTCAGAATCAGAATTTAACTCTGCAAAGTAAAATAAAATAGCTGAATAGAGAATACGGGCAAAAACGTCATTAAATTTATTTAGCGTATATTTGTTTCAACCCGTTTATCGAGATATACAATTATGCAAATTACCCTGGAAGGTTTATGTTCAATGAGAAGCTGCCGTTTTCAATCGTCTTCATTCTAGGTTCAGTAGCAACACATTTTCTCTGATGCTGCAGATAAGAACCAATCTTTCTTGACAATTGAGGTTCTTTCGGAATCTTTAATGGGGCATTTAACAATAATATTAAATCGACCCTGATAATTTAGACTATAAATTTGCATCGTGTTTATTGGAACCCCCTGTATAGTGTATATCCAAGGTTAAGTATTATTGGGACACCCTGCATAGTGTATATCCAAAGTTAATTATTATTGGGACACCCTGTATAGTATATATCCAAGGTTAAGCATTATTGGGACACCCTGAATAGTGTATATCCAAGGTTTAGTATTATTGGGACACACTGTATAGTTTATATCCCAGGTTAAGTATTATTGGGACACCCTGAATATGTATATCCAAGGTTTAGTATTATTGGGACACCCTCAATAGTGTATATCCAAGGTTTAGTATTATTGGGACACCCTATACAGTTTATATCCAAGATTAATTATTATTGGGACACCCTGTCGATATATAGTATATATCCAAGGTTAAGTATAAACATCTCTCTATAGAAACCCAACCAGCGTGGTTTAATGTAGACACCATTGAATACAGAATTCACTGCATTCTATTCAAGCTGAAGAATTAACAAGTAATAATATTACAACTAGAAGCATGAATAAGTTTATCAAAATTATTTTAATTTCTTTCAACATGTCTCACTCTTCAATAAGTTGAAATCACAGTAAATCCTAAAAGTTTAATTTTTTAGTTTGATTTTGTTCTCACTATTTTGATGATATTAATTATCATAATTAGTTATTATGATTTTGTTCTCACTATTTTGATGATATTAATTATCATAATTAGTTATTATGATTTTGTCCTTACTTCTATTTGTAATGTTTTGAATTTTGAAAAATGACAAGATCGTTTTTTCTTAATATTTCTTCCAAACTGATTTTATTTACATAGTTGAAATATGGAGAAAATAAAATGGCAGACAATACTTAGGTATTCACTTTTTGTTTGTAATGTTATAACATTAACGAAGAATGCATGTATCAACCATGATATTAAAATTCACCCCTCAATATGAGTTGAGTATTGTAATTATCAATTTATTAACCATTTTCAGGCTTTTTCGTAGACTTCACAAAAATCTGAGAAACTCAACATATTTTAAAATTTTATCATCAAAAAGTTTTGTTTCATTTTTTTTCACAAAATCTTTTATCTGGTGAATGATATAAGTCTGAACAATTTTTAAATTTTGCTTCGTCCAGGCTGTTATTTTCTGCCAAGTCCAAATCAAGCATGAATTAATATAAAAACTGATAGAAAATTAAATTTTGCTACCCAACTATGAACGAAATAATATAAAAAATAATATACACCCCCCGGTCACCCATGAGTGTCCACAAGAAATTTTAGCCCAATCGGTCCATCCGTTTGGTCGACTGTCTTGTTTTATTATATAAATAAAAGCGTGAAAGATTAGTTCCTTGATTGGGTCTGGGTTGATGTAGTATTTAGGGATCTGAACTCCGAGCTCCGGAACAAGAACAGTTTCCGGAGAACTAGGATCCAATACCTTAACATAAAAAATATTTAAATTTTGAAAAATGTTTAATTTCACAGAAAGGTTAGAGACTTTGTGTCCTTTAGAAATTACCACACTGTGTGTCTTAAAGCTTGCTATACTTATAAGACCGATTTTAAACCGGTTCTCGGACTCTCATGATCCTTGCATTTACTCGAATCAAAACTGAATCAGGGTTTAAGATTAAGACTCGCAGCGCTCTCAATTAGGTGACCGCGCATTTTCTTTCCTAGTAATCTGTTTGGGGGCTTGCTAAATTCGAATTCTTAACACTGTATAACATTAGTATTCAAAAAGAATAACGATGGAGATAAAAACTGAGAAATCAAGTTTTAAAGAAATAAATTACCTCTCCTGAGAGTTTGGGAACTAGTGCACCAGAAAGAGGCTGACTTGGACCAACAGGAGGTTGAGCTGAAGCGATTGGAGACTGAACTGAACTAATTGGAGACTGAATTGAGCTAACCGGAGATGTAACTAGTTGAACTGATTCTGTTGTGGATTCGGTTGAACTCTGTTGTGCAGGGGAGGATGAAGAACCGGTAGGACCAGCATTGGAGACTGCAAATGGTCGGACAGAAAGCGGTGAGGTGTTCGGCTGAATGTTCGGCGTAAACATACGAGAAACCGGTTTAAGCAAAGGTGTCCCGGGTCGGTATATTTGTGTTCCAGGGGGAGTGAAAATCTGTGTCCCAGGATAGTGGAATCCCACCATCATTTGCGATCCTCCTCCGATCATTTGCGATCCTGATGGGATCATTTGCGCTCCTGCGGGTGACATATAAGATCCTACCGGCATCATATGTGATCCTGGGGGAAGCATTTGAACCCCTGGATGATAAACTTGACCAGGATGAACCTGAGCTCCACCCAGAGGATAGAACTGCTGAGGATAGGGTTGACCAGGTTGTGGAGCAAGTTGAGCAGCTACTAGAGGAGACCCCCTATATAAATTGTATCCACTCTGGTTTCCTTGGACTACCAGGGCAGAGGGAGACAAACTTCTAAAGTAAATGTAAAATTAAAAGTAATCAAATCTTTCCAGACCTGAAAAAAATAAGCTTTTCTGATTAAATGGACAAGAGAACTTTTGTTAACATGTAAATATTCAGAAGAATTTTTTTAAATTTAAATCAAAAATAAAGAGAAAAAAATTTTTGTCGAAAGATTTTCTGTTCAGAATTCTCCAAATCAATGCGTGTTTTGAAGTTTATGTTTTTTTAAATGAAGGGGAAAGGTATTTTTCGCACAGTAATACAACAAATACGCCACTGAACAATACAGAGTAAAAACATAAATACTAAATTGAACAGCTGTTCAAGTTCTGTTTTAAACAAACAAATTTCTATGCTATGATAGGCTATCAGAAAGATAAAAATATCTGTTTGTTTGGCTGTCTTTATGTCAATCATTATACATAACTCAAGAACCCCTTGACCTTATATTTGTATTGAGGAACTAGGAAGAACCACAAGAGCTTGGCTAAAAACTTTTAAGCCAAGTGGGTTTGTAAAATCTGCACTATTCAAGGAAAGACGACTCGGTTACACGGGAGAAGTTGGAGAAGGACGCATGATTAAACCTAAAGGACGCACAATCCTCATATTAAAATTTTCAATGTCCATTCTCTTAAATATGATCTTTTCTTAAATAACAACCTATTTTAATCAATAGTTCAGAACCTTACTGAGCTTTATTTATTGTTTTCTTAAAAATCAAAAGCAAAAACTCTTTTTTAAATCAAATATATTTCCACGTATTGTTTGGATTTTAAACAGATTTTAAACTAAACACACTTTATTTTCCATGACAGGAAATTGGAAAAGCAAAAACCTCTTATATCTAATATCTGAATGTTTCAGATATTATGTTTTTATAGAGACTGAAGGAGCGTGTTGAGTGTGACCAGCTGATCGAGCTCTCAGCTTTAAGTATATAGGTATATACATATACTTTGAAATGCATTCATCTAAATACATTATTCTCACACCTTTCAATTGATAGAAAAAGACTTTAAAAATCCTTTTTTCTAGAACCTGAATTGCACGATGATGAGATTTCCCTGCAGACCCTTCTAGCAAAGTTGAACTATACTACGCTTAAAAGATTCTGTTTATTGTGAATCCAATACAGGTATATATATAACTCATAAAAAACTTTCGAATTTTAAAACGAGAATATATAACCTTAGCCTGAAAAGAATCAGAATCTATTTCATGACTTGTCAAAGTTTAATCGAGCTTTAAACTGGGTGTGAGCGATCCGGATCTCTAGGTTGTCGTTATGAAAAATGGTTCTATGGGCAAATTATATTTATTTTTTTTAAATTGTATTAGATCTTAATATTAAATTTACCTATTTATTTACTATTCTTAAAAGCCGCGCCTTAGAGGTAGCTATTTTTATCTTGAAAACTTTTTCTGTTTTATATATATTCAAAATAATTTATGTCATCTAATTGTGATTTATCTTCAATTACCAATGAATAAATGCATATTTCGGAATTATATTCTACCACCTCCAGTTATAAAGAGGAACTATTATACCACGGTACAGACGAAATCTTCAGCACGTCCATGAGACACGTGCAATCCATGAAGTGGGAGATAGAGTCAGTTAAAGATACACTTTAAAACCCTGAATACTATAAACCTTGAAGTCTCACAGGGTTGACATTTTTGGGGATAGCTTATTTTCCAGGAACGCTTGGTTTCCAAGTATGAAATACCTTATCTAAGCTTGGTTTCCAATTATGAAATACCTGATCTAAGCTTGGTTCCCAAGTATGAAATACCTGATCTAAGCTTGGTTTCCAAGTATGAAATACCTGATCTAAGCTTGGTTCCCAAGTATGAAATACCTGATCTGAGTAGTATTTGAACTAGGAGTATACCTAGGATAGGTTCCAGGTTGGGTTGAGGATACAGATGAGAAAACTGAAGCTGGTGAAGTTGCTAGTTTTATCTTGGAACTGGAGATCTTAAAACTGGTTGGTCGGACCTGGGGAGAACTAGATATAGATGGAGAACTAGATATAGATGGAGAGCTAGATATAGATGGAGAACTAGATATAGATGGAGAACTAGATATAGATGGAGAACTAATGGTAGACAGAGAACTAGAGATTGAAGGAAGGGTAGAATTGTCAGATTTGATCGGAAGAGCAGAAATGTCAGATTTGATCGGAGGAGTTGATGTGTTAGATTCGTTCAGAGAAGGGGTGTCAGTTTTTATCGGAGGATTGGAGGTTGTATCTGGATCAGAGGGCGGAACTGTAAAGATCTCAGAATCAGAGGATATTGTTGTCAGATCTTCATTGGAGGCAGAAGAGGACGCGAGGTTGGTGGATTTATCCTCCGCTGTGGAGGACGGGGATTTAACATCTTGAGCACTTGAGGACGGATGTGATAAACTAAGAAACTGTAAGGACGGAGATAGTTCTTCTAGATTGTTTTCAGTCTCATCTAAACTACATTCTTCTTTGGATTCAGACATGAAGTTCTCATCACGCGAACATCTCTCGTCTTTGAGTAATGTATCTTCTTGGGTTTTTAAAGATGCATTCCTGAAAAAAAGGAAAAAGGTTAGTAGAAAAAATTACAAATTTCATATTTTTAAAATGTTAAGGACTCTTAAACAACTATAATAATAACACTGTACTAACTACTAACTCTGTAAAAAAAACTTCAAAATGAAAAACCAAGATAAAAAAATTTGAAAGCAGATTACATGATTCTTTTATTATCTGTACGAATTTAGGTGTAAAACTTGGAGATAATCCAATTTGATTTTGGAAGCTATGTAATATCACAAGATACCAACTTACCCGACTATTTTGAAGACGACATTCATAAGAGCGTCCAACTTCTTCTCCAGTTCACTGTTCTTACTCTCCAGATAGTTGTAGGAATCACTGAAATAGAATATATATGTCGGAGGAAATCATGGATATACTTTTCAGGAGATATGAGAGGAGATCAGCCGATCAGGGATATACTTTTCAGGAGATATCAGAGGAGATCAGCCGATCAGGGATATACACTTTTAAGGAGATATGTGAGGAGATCTAGAGTAGACATGACATTCCTCGGGGTTGAGGATATTAATCTTTATGGGACTGTTCACCAACCCCGGAATAAGGAATAAGGACTAAGAAAACTAAAAAATTAGTTATATGTTACATAAATAAAGAAATTAGTTTTATTTTCCACTAGCTGAATGGGCCGGCGTTGCCCGTGGAATTTTTTTTTCAAATTTAAAAAAAATGAAAAAAAAAATTTGGAAAAGAAAATCGTTTTTTTAGCCTAAAACACCCCACGGCCACCTATGAGTGTCCACAAAAAATTCAGTCCCATCGGTCCAGAAGTTTGGCCGGCTATAGGCAACATACGAATGTCTTGTTCTAATATATAGATAAACAATTAAACAAATATAATTCCGAGACTGTGTAATAAATAAAATTAAAAACATAACAAAGCTATTTTTTTCTCATTTTAAATCCCCCCCTTGCAAAAAAAATCTGAAATTAGGTAAGTTTTCGGATAAATTATTTTCTCCAAAGCTTTGTCAAAAATACTTGGTTTTGCAACTTTTTTGGTTTTCCACTTAAAATATTTTTCTTTTCCTCACTTGGATGAAGTTCTTTTTCAATATACATAATTTTAACCCCCCCCCCCCCCCTTCTTCCATTCATGAAAAGCAGCATAAATGTAGAATAATACGTTTGCAATGCAAACCTACAATGATAAAAGCAAACTGCAGAATATCTGTTATTCATGAATATGTTAAAATATGAATTTCATCAATTCAACACAGTTGCCCTAAAGCAGGGATAGGTATAAAAAAATGTCAACCTAATCTGTCAATATATTTCATATTGCACAAACCTAAGGATTATTTTCCATCAAAAAAATCATATCAAAAGCTTTTCTGAAAATATTTCATTATCAACATATTTACTGCTACCTGAAAGACTACCTAACTGCTATCTGATTGACCTCCTAGCTATGAACTGCTACCTGATTGACCCCCCGCCAGCTATGAACTGCTACGTGATTGACCGCCTAGCTATGAACTACTACCTGACTGACAACCTAGCTATGAACTATCTACCCAATTAACCCCATAGCTGGGAACTATTTACCTGACCCCCTAGCTGTGAACTATCTACCTGCTTGACCTCCTAGCTATGAACTGCTACCTGATTGACCACCTAGCTATGAACTTTCTACCGAAATGACCCCCTATCTATTATTTATTTACCTGATTGACCTGGCTCTGAATATCTACCAGATTAACCCCTAGCTGTGAACTATCTACCTGCTTGACCTCCTAGCTGTGAATTATCTATTTGATTGACCCCCTTGCTGTGAACTATCTATTTGAACGACCCCCTAGCTGTGAACTATCTACCTGATTAACCCCCTAGCTGTGAACTATCTATTTGATTGACCCCCTAGCTGTGAACTATCTACCTGATTGACCCCTTAGCTATGAACTATCTACCTTATTGACCCCCTAGCTGTGAACTATCTACCTGATTGACCCTTTAGCTGTGGATTATCTACCTGATTGTCCCCCTAGCTGTGAACTGTAGGTTTAGAAGGTCCCTGGTAGTTAACTCCTTGAAGAGGGAAACAGGACCACTAATTCTCATCCTATCTTTATCCTTCTCTTCCTAGATAAAATATCATGAAATTGAAAATGAATATTTATGGAGAATCATCATATACGTAGTTTCCCATGTTTTTCACATCAAATCAAGATCAAGAGACATACGACTCCCAAGAACCAAATACCCCATACTTTACGTGAATATACTTAATCAATGGGGCAATGCAATATAGTTTGTAATGTGTAATGGTTAGATTGTAATCTTTAAAAACCGTAAAACTAAAAAAGAGATTAGTTATAACAATCAATTTACAATGGCATTTATGTTGACACACATTATTGTGTCAGCTTTTAATTAAATAAATCACTACATCGGACACCCAAAGTTGTGAACTTTCCGATTTTCAAATTCGCCAAGGACCCTAGCACAATCAAATCAAATCAAATACAAATCTGAAAAGGAATTCAAAGTGGAACCCCAGACTGCCTACAGGGTGGAAACTGTGTAGCGTGTACAACACAGCTATTTATCGTGAGACTAGGGATGTAAAATGTTAAAATGTTCCTTCTCTGCTCCCCCTGGTTTCATCTATATTTTCTAGTTACCTAAACTTTTCATCTTGTTCAACTCAGTTTCTAATCTCTCTGTCTTCTCTGTTAAGGTGTTGGACTTGGTGGAGAACTGTTCCATGCTGTTCACCAACTCAAGTAACATCTCCTGTACAGAAGTATTTTACAATATTTTAAAACTAGTTTAATGCATATCCCCTTTCCCCCTCGGCCTCAAGGCCTCTCCACCCCGCCTTGACGTAATTTTCGATTATTTTGTACTGATTATTAGTTTCAGATGATTTTTTTTTTGTTGACGGGGGAGAGGGGAGTGGAAATTTTCACAATCATGAAACCCCCTCTCCCCCCCCCCCTGCTAGACGTATTACGGTATCTAAACAAAAATCGTGTATCTTGGCTTGGCTTCATTATTTCTATTTCATTAACGCCAAAAGAGCTGAACCAACTAGGAACATAGGGAAGGTTTCCGACCAATTTGAGAATGTTATAAAAACAAATTGATTTATTAAAATGAATTACCTTGAGGTTTTCAATACTCCTAGCTGAAGATGCATTACTGTATGAGATTTCTCTGTTTAATCTGTCCAACTCTGTATCTCGATCATTTAAACTATTCTACTCAAACAAAAGATCTAATTTGGAGACGTTAATGAAATCATTTTCCATTTTTTCCTCTTCATATAAGTTTAAGATTTATCTGGGCACTATCGAAGGTTTAAAGTTATGAAGGTTTGAGAGAAAAACTTTTTTTTTGGAAAATCGCTTAGCATCGGCGACTGAACCCGGTGTCCACTGTGTAAACGCTGACAGTTCCATTAAGATATAAAAGTTGATTAATATATATATATAAAGATTTATTCACACACAAAGATATAAATACATATATAAATGGTGTAGTTAAAATTTGTTTAAATAAATTTTTTTGAAAATACAGGTTTCCAAAAGAAAAGAGAAAAAATATGCAAAATTATGCACAAATAGAAAACATTGATTTTTACTCACTACATAACATATTTATCATTTCAGTTATTACGTAATCATCGAATCCTTCAACATATAAATTATTCATTCTTGTATTTAAAAGTTCTTGTAAAACCGGAACTTTCCATTCATGTTCCAATGGGACATCAAAATATTTCATTTGTTTCTTAACTAACATTTTACTAAGATCGGAAGGATTTACAGAACAATCATTTGCAATACAAAATAAATTTCTGCTAAGAACTGTGTTGAGGTCATTTTTACATAAATTAGAAAGAAATCTAATGCAAAGCTTAGAACTTGCTTCAATAGTCTCATAGAAAGACACACATAACAGTTTGAAAAAAAAAGTAAGATCAGTTTCTCTCATTAAATCAATTCCTGGAGTTTGGTGGTTTTTGTCTCCAAGGATTTCAACTTCTCTAATAACTTGGGATTCTAAAGAATAAACAATTTGTAAATAATCATTGTAAATCTGATAATATTTGGATGACCAACGAACTATATAACATTCTTGAAATATAATTATTAACTTTTACACAAAATTTGTAAATATTTTTAATTTGAAAATTTTTCTTAATCATCATATCATCGCAGGAATCTGAATCACTATCAATAATAAAATATTTCAAGGTGCGATTAAAATCAATGGAAGATATAACGTTTTTAGATATATCTACTACAAAAACACCAGATTTTTATGCTAAACATTAAATATTTATCAATGATATGTCTACTACATAAACATCAGATTTTCATCCTAAACATAAAATATTTATTAATGATATATGTACTACATAAACACCAGATTTTTATGCTAAACGTAAAATATTTCTTAATGATATATCTACTACATAAACACTAGATTTTCATGCTAAACGTGAAATATTTCTTAATGATATATCTACTACATAAACTCCAGATTTTCATGCTAAACATAAAATATTTATCATTAATATATCTACTACATAAACTCCAGATTTTCATACTAAACATAATATATTTCTTAATGATATATCTACTACATAAACACCAGATTTTGATGCTGAACGTAATATATTTATCAATGATATATATACTTCATAAACACCAGATTTTCTTGCTGAACATAATATATTTCTTAATGATATATCTACTACATAAACACCAGATTTTTATGCTAAACATAATATATTTATTATTGATATATCTACACATAAACTCCAGATTTTTATGCTAAACGTAAAATATTTCTTAAATATATATCTACGTCATAAACACCAGATTTTTATGCTAAACGTAAAATATTTCTTAACGATATATCTACTACATAAACACCAGATTTTTATACTAAACGTAAAATATTTCTTAATGATATATCTACTAAATTAACAACAGATTTTCATGCTAAACGTAAAATATTTCTTAATGATATATCTAATACATAAACACCAGATTTTTATGCTAAACATAAAATATTTATCAATGATATGTCTACTACATAAACACCACATTTTCATGCTAAAAATAAAATATTTATTAATTATATATCTACTTCATAAACACCAGATTTTCATGCTAAACATTAAATATTTCTTAATGATATATCTACTAGATAAACACCAGATTTTCAATTTTCATGCAGAACATTAAATATTTCTTTATGATATATCTACTACATAAACACCAGATTTTCATGCTAAACGTAATATATTTATTAATGATATATCTACTACATAAACTCCAGATTTTCATGCTAAACCTAAGATATTTACTATTGATATATCCACTACATAAACTCCAGATTTTCAGGTTAAACATAAAATATTTATTATTGATATATCCACTACATAAACACCAGATTTTCATGCTAAACCTATTTGAACTATTTGAAAAGAAATCTGAAAAAGAGGTCCCGTTATGAACCCCCCAGACCGCCGGCAGGCATGGGAAGCATAAACACCAGATTTTCATGTTAAACGTAGACTATTTATTATTGATATATCTACTACATAAACACCAGATTTTCATGCTAAACATAAAATATTTCTTTATGATATATCTACTACATAAACACCAGATTTTCATGCTAAACGTAATATATTTATAATTGATATATCTACTACATAAACACCAGATTTTCATGCTAAACGTAAAATATTTCTTAATGATATATCTACTCCATTTACCAGATTTTCATGCTAAACCTAAAATATTTATTATTGATATATCTACTACATAAACATCAGATTTTCATGCTAAACGTAAACTATTTATTATATATATATTCACTACATAAACACCAGATTTTCATGCTAAACGTAGACTATTTATTATTGATATATCCACTACATAAACACCAGATTTTCATGCTAAACCTAAAATATTTATTATTGATATATCTACTACATAAACATCAGATTTTCATGCTAAACGTAAACTATTTATTATTTATATATCTACTACATAAACACCAGATTTTCATGCTAAACGTAATATATTTATTAATGATATATCTAATACATAAACACCAGATTTTCAATTTTCATGCAGAACATAAAATATTTCTTTATGATATATCTACTACATAAAACACCAGATTTTTATGCTAAACGTAATATATTTATCAATGATATATATACTAGATAAACACCAGATGTTCATGCTAAACATAAAATATTTCTTAATGATATATCTACTACATAAACGCCAGATTTTGATGCTAAACGTAAACTATTTATTATTAATATATCTACTACATAAAAAACAGATTTTCATGCTAAACATAAAATATTGATATATCTACTACATAAACAACAGATTTTCATGATCTCAATATGTAAATTCTTGAAAAATAAAACATAAAATTTTTTCGGAAAATAAGTAAGTTCGCATTTGAAAAATCATCCCCCGAGCTCTGAAAATGAAGCCTGAAATATTTTTACCTGTTCAAGCAGATTGTTTTCTATAAAAGTTGAATCTATTCTTTTCTCCAGGTTTCGCAGAGATTGCTCCAACTCTCTAATGTCTTCATTCATTTTAAATATCTTGATATCTGAAATAAAAAAGTACTAGAGGGTACCATTGTGAATCAGACATGTCACTCTATAAATATAGGTTAACTATGTCTACACCCTTCAGTCCCTTTAAGCATCACTTTTTGGTGGACTACGACCTCGAGAAGACATCCTCCTTGGGCCTCCAAGGGAGTAGTCCCTAGATGGACCTCTACGAGTTGAGGGCCGTCCTCTGTGTATGGTCCTCTGTGAGGCGGGGATAGGTCACAAGGAGATCCTCCTCTCTCCTCTCTGTATGGTTCCTTGTGAGGTGCGAAGAAGTCACAAGGAGGTCCTCCTCTCTCCTCTCTGTATGGTTCCTTGTGAGGTGCGAAGAAGTCACAAGGAGGTCCTTCTCCTTTCTCCTATCTGTATCTTCTAGGTCTTTTTCAAGAGAACGATCTTCGGACCCCCCCCCCCCTTATATTA